TCTCGAGCTTTCAGCCCGCCAAGCGTGGAAAGATGTGGAAAGATTTAGGCTGCGCTTCCATGGCTGGGTGGAATCGGTCTGCGGGCAGTTTACCTGTTTGGCAGGCAGTTATACCTGGACTCAGGCCCCTGTCCACTCAACAATTTTTCTCCTCAACACTTGGAGCTCGCCAGGACCATCACCCTCTGTCTGTTGCAGTACTTATGGCCTTGTCTCAAGATTAAGTTAAAGTCCGGGTCACACCCCGAACCAGAAGCGGATTGCGACAGCCCTCACGGACCAAGCCTAAACCAAGTGAATGATCTCCGTATAAGCTGCCATATGAGCTACTGTCTAAACTCCTAGTATCCCCCTTAATAAGCCCTATAGTAGTCCCCTATATAATCCCCTATGTAGCCCCCCTTTAAGGAGTTTTGACTATAGCATATATATATATATATACCCGCATAGTAAAGGCATGGTACCCTCCCATGCTTTCCCCTCGCGGGAGCCTTGGGGAGAGCTTCTGGGTTGCCACCCTCGTTGCGTCGGCCTGCGGCGCGCTGGCTTTCATGCTCTCCATGCTACGGTGGGTACTAAAGAATCCTGCATGACCCTAAGTACCCTAAACCTTGGGAATAATGGTACTATAGTATACTAAAGTCATGCAGGGTTTTTGAATATCAACAGTAGTTCATACTGCTGGGATCAAAAGCCTTCGTCCTAGTCCTATCACATCACGAAACTGCAATTGCACCCCCAACGACCCCCTCCCAGTTGCCCACGACCACCAAAGGAAATCATTGCCCGGCCTGTCAGGTCGAGAGATGCCCTTCAGATTTGTTGCATGGGGCAGGGTCTTCATATTCTGCCTCCAACCCAACAATCCTTGGCCCTCCCAAAGCCTTCAAGCCTCCGGCCTGGACCGTGTCAGTAAACCCTCCAAACCTTTGAAAGCAATAAGTGGAATTCCCGGTGTGTTGCGACACTTACCGTGCTCGTATGAACATCACGAGCTGTTTTTGATGACACAATCAGACTGAGGCACAGGCCAAGGGCGAAGACATCCACAGCCGCCATCCGGCAGGGTACCATGATGAAGGCGAACGAACAGATCACAACCTCAGCGCAAGGCCGCATGGCGATGCCTCTGCCAAGTCTCTGGCACTGCATTAGTTCCAAGAGCAATGGCTCAGAAAACATGTCACAAGCAGCAACGCTCGTGCTTCGCCTGCCCCGCACTACACAAAGAGCTCATGCCCTCCTTGTTGCTTCACGTGTTTTGAGCGCTCTGCAAAGCCATAGGATATCCATGACAGCATCAGAGGGAGGTACCTGCGGCTGGCTAGAAGTAGCGGCTGCACTCGCCACTCCGGTACCCCGGGCAAGGGCGTTAACAATATTTGGAGGCTGCGCCAGAAAACAGAGCATTGTTTCCAGCCCAAGGCGGATTAGATTAAGCGTGACTTACACTCTAGATCACCCTAGTCAAACTCTAGTCGTCTGGAGTTCCATCTCCTGTTGATGCAACCCGGGGAGGTGCGGAGCAACAGGGCTGAAGTCCAGCAGCACGTTGCCGGCTACCCGGTCCCCGAAACGCAGATAGGCTGCCTGGCTTTGGTCTCAGCTTTGGCAAAGTCTAGTTCCTCATTTGCCCTTTGCTTTTCGTGCTGACTTGAGAGGTAGAAAGATGACCAGCTTTCACAGCAGGTTCCCTGAGCCCAGCACAGTCCCCATCGTTGCGGAAAAAAGCAGCGCAATGAAGAAAGACACCTGCTCCAAGCGCACCATAATTGGAGATCGTCGTTGCACCAAGCCACAAATTACTGGGTGTGCTAGCAAGAGACAGCACCTGAAGAGATGCCTTCTTTCTGGCTGCAAGCTGTCTGCTCCAGTTTCAGTTTGGCTCCGGAGCGCATAGGACATTGCTAGTTCGCTATCCTAGCTTGGCCACCTTGACCAACGTGTGGCTCCAGCACGCTACTGAAAGAACATATTGTTTTGGCATCCCAACACGCGGACTTTGACTGGGATAGGCAGCCGTCAGGTACTGCACTGCGCTTAGCCGCTTAGCCATGCAAGTCTTAAAGCAATCATGTGCTACTGCTACTGTGAGAACATATGCCTGTGAGATGTCCTCGGCAGCAACGAGGGATGCAACGGTTTCCTCATCATCCTGCACGTGGCAAACAGCCGCGCAGTGCATTTGGAGTTCAGATCGAGATGGCACACAAACTCTATTTGGTCCTGCTCGTTGTCTGCCCCCACGTGGCTCAAGACCTTCACACGTTGCAGGTGCAATCCACTTACACTGACGCCGCAGCTTTCCCCAACCGGATGTCACATTGGCTCTTTGCAGTCGGACTTGCAGCGACATGCGCTGCAAGACTGACTTAGGGTACGATTAGGAGATGCAAAGTCGAACAGCCCCATGCATAACCCGTCACCCAGCAAGTACAAACACATTCCTTGCGGCAGCAGAAATCTGAGTGAATGCCTCAATTCCGATTGACACCCAGCAGTTGGGCCTCAATGCCTCCAGCCTGCACCGAGAACTGCAGTGAGAAGAGCGCTGCTCCTGGCCCATGTTGTATCATCTGCATCCCATGATACTGTCAACCTGCCGCTAGCACCGCCCCTGAAGCAAGAAGACTGACAGTGACCGCATCTGCACCTAGAACCTGGGTACTGCCCCAGCCTGTAACAGTCTATATTACGGTCATATTAAGGGCTGTATACAATGATAGTATAAATGGTAGTTGCCCAACATAGGAAGACCCCGATTATAGACCCCAATATACGATACTTCTTATTATGGGGACCGCCCAAATATTATCCAACTGTTACAGGGAAGGAGCCCCCTAAACCCTAGATAACCCCTATAATCACTTTAGCTTCCATTTTCCATTATCCTTGTATAACCCCAATATATGAAAAAAAGTATACTATAGTAGCTTCCATTTTCTTCTCCATTATCCCAAGATTACCCGAATATACTATAGTAGCTTCCATTTGCTTTTCCATTATCCCAATATTACCCCAACATGCCATCCCAGCCTTATATGGTAGTTTCCCAAAATAAAGGGACCCTAATATGAACCCCAAAATACTATAATCCTTTTTATGGGGACCCCCAATAAGGTACCCCTAATTTTTGGAAGCCCCCATACAACCCCAACCCTGAGCTGCATGCCTGAGAGCAGCCTCCGGAAGTCGCCCCGCAGTATATCCACATCACCTACAACTGCAGGCTGCAAAACATGTGAGCTGTAGTCTAAACTTAAAGTCCTAGTATACCCCTAACTAACCCCTACTATAGGGTTTAGGGTTAAGAGTTTGGGGTTTAGGATTTAGGGTCTAAACTCCTAGTATCCCCCTTAATAACCCCTGTAATACTCGCCTAGATAATCCCCCATACAACCCCATTTAAGGAGCTTAGACTATAGCTCGTGTCATGAAGGGTGCCCCCCTGCCTCAAACTCCCAACCTTGCGCCTTCAATTTCTGGGCTGCTGTCAAGGAACTTAAACTAAGTTAGCCTACTGGGTACATATACGTAGTAACTAATATGATTTCCCCAATATAGTAACTTACATTTAAGGAACAGCAACCCAGTGAAGGTTTTGCTGATTGCTGTAACCTCGCTTGGATTTGTGAAGATGGGACACAGATGCAGTTTAGATGTTCATCTCGGTGGCGCCAAACAGCCCCTCAATCTGCAAAAGAATACTATAGTAGCTTCAATTTTCTTCTCCAGTATCCCAATATTACCAATATACTATAGTAGCTTCCATTTTCTTTTCCATTATCCCAATGTTACCCCAATATACCATCCCAGCCTGAACGTCCCGGCTCCTCTATGGGGGCATTGACCATGGCTGGTGATAGCACATCGCCTTGGCAACTTGACTGTGAAGAGAAGTCGTCCAAGGGGATAAGGTCCGAGGCACCGGCCAACGCACACAACAGTTAGCATCACCTCATGAGCTGATAGCTAAGGCCCTAAGGGTCGTCTGCAATAGTGAACTAAGCCGAGGGAACCCTGAGGGCTGGACTACCAGGCAGCACACGCCTTGGAACTCAGACTGGCGAGCTCTGTGAGTTGCAGAGGATTGGATAACTGCTTGGCATTGCTTGGCCCAGCGGCCGAGCATGCAAACGGCACTCACCAGAGCGACGTGTCGAAGCCACCTCCGAGGACTGTACGTTCAGTCGTCTGAGTGGCAAGAATGTGTCCACGACTCTCCGGACTTCGAGCAGCCAAAAAAAAAGCGTTCCTGCTGTGTTCGCGTACCACTCACTGCACACCCAGCCCAGTCTGGCTACGCAAGATAGAGCACCACTCTCAAGGGATGACGGCTACAAACCAACGAAGTGTCTCCCGACTACCTTCTAGAAGTCACATGAACCTGTTGACAAGAAATTTAAGCACGCCATCCCTGCGAGTTCCATAACTCTTTGTACAAACAGCACCGGGATTCAGAGCTGTTGTTTTCAGGGGCACGGACTCTCAGCCCCCTCTAAACTGTAACATGTAAATGTAAGGCCGGAAGTACTTTACCATACTTTACCACCCACCACTGCGTCTTGCCGGATCTCATCTGCCAGGCAGGTCTTGGAGCCGCGACTGCACCGCGCCGTGTAGGTGTCAAGCACTAGGCATCTTTGTTTCTGCATTCCGAGTCACCCACTCTTCAACTGCCCCGCGAGGTACCAACGGTGTGGGCCACTTACCAAAAGCACACTAACAGTCAGCGTCAGCAACGAAGAAGCAAAAGACCTCGACTTCAAATGGAAACGGCAGTGAGGTCGGCCACTTTGAACTATGAGTCTCTGCCAAACTTTTTGTCGTGGTCGCGCTTGGCCTTGGCCTTGACCTTGGCTGCACTTCAGGAGTTTCAGGGCTAACAATTTTTTGGGGGGCCCGCCTTTGGGGACAAACCAAGTTCTACACTGCAAGCAGTACCCCACAGTACATCATGTCTCTCATCATGAGTTGCCTTCTGTCAGAGGCCAGGAAGCTCCGACCCTTTCTGCCTTGGAAGAGGACGTCTTGGTCTTTGAATTCGCCTGACGCAGTCCTCAGCAACCAGGTCACTGTGGTTCATGCAAAGAGCAGCTGCTGCATTCTAACCAGCATAGGTTGCAGCTGCATACCCCGTTCTGAAATCGCGGAGGCCCTTCTACACGAAATCACGGCTGTATCTCTTCTAAACGTAATGTTCTGGATCATCCCCGGAAGCTGCTTGCTTCCCTGCACGTACAGCCTGGAAACGTCGCGGAAACGGGTTTTGCAGGAGCAGGGTTCATTCACTCGCTTGACCAAGGGTTATACGTCAGACCTATCTGCTTGTGCTGGAACTGTCGGAATTAGACACATGGCCGCACCTAACATGCGTGACGAACGAAGCTCCTCAACGAGAATGAATGGCCGGCATGCGACCCACTAGCTAAACTCTTGTTGCCGTTGCTACCTTGTTTGTTTTTGCTCCAAGCCTTGCGTATGGCAGGCCGAACTATCTGCCATGCTGAATATGAGTGTCTGATACAGATCAAACATCCCCACCACGAAGAACTGAGTTTGTTCTGCCAGGCTGCCACCTTTGAACTTCTTGGAGTCTTTTGTGGACATTGCAGTGATGCTGCGAGTGCCACCTCCATCATCCCAGTGGGCGCTGCCCTTGGCCTTAGTGCATGGGGAGCTGAAGAACTGATGCTGCAAACCTGCATGCTCAGCCCAATTATCCAGGATAGCTTTGAACGGGGCAGGAACTGAGGTTTCTGTCGCTGCTGTATTTCGGACCAGTTTACTCAAAGTGCCTGTTTGCAGTTGGATGGGGCCGAGGCATCATCAACAGTTAGCTAAAAAGCATCCCTGAAATCAATGAAATCAGCCCTGGAAGCTGTAGAACCAAACATCCCCCGACCAATGCGTGGTACTGCCGAGGGTCTATCATTGCAAAGCCGCACTTCTCGCAAGGCCGGGCAGGCGAATAGCTCTGCTCCATCGAGCATTTACCGCAGATCATGCCTCGGGGCAACTTTTCACACAGGGTGCTGTCTACAAACTTTGCACCAGATTCGCGCCAGGAAGCAGGCATGCTTGACCCTATTACCCCAGCAGACTGAGACCGGGCACGACTGGCTTGCGCGCCCAGCCCGGCCGCGGGACAGCCCGAGTCCGCGTGGCACTGCGGACAGGGGAAGGCACGCCCACAGCAGGCAAAGCGATACCACCTCAGTATCATACTGGTATGGGATGATACGGGCACGTGCACCGAAGCCCAAAGGCTCCTCACCCATTTCCAGAAAAGCCCCAGTGGCTTGTAGGATTTCTTGAAGTGCCGGCACGCACCCATCTGCGGAAGAGGACTGCCAAGCTTGATCAGCTGCTGTCTCGGGTCAGACTTCGCCTTCTTGCGGAGATACCTGACAGATCTGAGCTCAATCTGACGGTTTGGGACCAGGCAAAGGGCAAGGGTACTTCATGTAGGATCCTGTAGGCCCACTTCCTGTAGCTGCCACAGCATGGATCAGCTTCAGAGATATTGGGGTTATATTGGGGTTATATTAGGGCTATATTAGGGTTACATTGGGGTTATATTGGGGTGCTATCAGGGTTACACTAGGGTTATATTGTGGTTATGTCTGCAAAGCCCAACTTTGCAGGAGCCGGTCCTCCTAAACCTCAACCCCCCTCTGGCGCAATCGCATCGACCCCAATAAATACATCTCAGCATAGATACTCCCCTAAACTGAATCCTGAAGTTGACGCTGGCTGTCAACGCAACCTGCCTCAACTCCTCTGCCAGCTCGTCCATGGGGTCGCCCTCCTCTGATACAATGATCCGATGTCCAAACACTCTCAGAGTAGCGTCAACCACTCTTAAAGAGCAGTACCATGCAGTGTCCCTGATAGCACTTGGATTTGCTCAGCGTTGGCAGTGTGCTCCCGCTTTGCTTGCTGCCAGGTTTCTCAGCAGTCGGGGCATCACTAGCACAAGCATTTACCAATGATGCTGCTGCTGCTGCTGCTGTCGCCGGTGCTGCCGCTACTGCTGGTGCACCGACCCCACATCACCAAACACCGACATGATTATCACCGACACCACCCACACCACCAACACTACCGCCGCCCACACTACCACTGCAAGCGCAGTCATCGCAGGCAGTACTGTCACGACAGAGGGGCAAGTTGAAAAACCCTATCGACAAGATGCACACAGATCTCTATTTTGCCGGCATCGCTCGTAAAATGCGAAATTGTTTTGCCGGAACCCTGTCCGCGGACTTCTTGCTGCCAGTCGATTTGCCGCCAGGATCACAAGGTGTGATTTCTTCTATGCGGATGGACTCCGCGCGAAAGGCATACCTGTCGCGACACAAGTGGGCTGCGTAGCAACGGCTGAACATCTTTTAACAGCTTATGCGGACTCATCTTGGGCCGAGTGATTTGCAGAATTGTTTGAGGGCACACTATGTCCACGACTATTCTTGACAAAAAAGTCTGCTTCTATCCAAGGTGCTTGGCGTGGCACTCGAAACCTCTAGTTGCACGAGAGGGACATGATAACAACAGCTTTAGCTTATACTGGCCTTGCTCAAATATCACAGCCCTGACATTCAGCCGAGCTGCATGTGCCATCGATGCCCCGGTTTCGCACGAACTCGTTCTTATGCACGTTCTCGGCATGGCAGCTGTCCTGCAGAAGACGACGAGAATCAAGGAGACAAAGGAGTTCGCATTTCAGAGCATCTAAAGCCCCTATATATCCCAGTTTCCATTTCATTTTCCATTTTCTTTTCCATTTGATTCTCCGTTATTGGGTTAATCCCTATAGTAGTTTCCATTTTCTTTTCCATTATCCCTACATAACCCAATATATCCCTAATATATACCCTATCATAACATAGTAGTTTCCAGTTTCTTTTCCATTATCCCTATACTGGCCCAAGTTAACCTGAGGTGCCTCTACGTGTCAAGCCAAATCGTGCCGAGAATCACAAACACTCATCAGCACTGATGGCAGTACATCGACGACCCGGCAGCGGACGCAGTCGACGTAGCAAAGCCTTCAAGCATCACCCCTATGCGTGCAAAAATGCATCAGTTCCACGTCTCCGCTGCAGATTTGACAATGGCTGCAACAAGTCTTCTGGAACCGGTACGATCCCCACAAATCAGAACTTGCTTGGTGGCATCGCTATGGCGAGGTGACAACATCACAGCACATGTTGAGCCAATACCGTTCATCACTTTGCTCGCTATTTCCAAAACTCAACCCGAGGCGCTTTGCACAGCAACCCTGGCAGCATCGCGACTTTTAGAACTTGCAATTACCGCAATACTTGCTTGTACTCCTACCACGATGTTCGTTGCTACAGTTCTTGCCTCTTTGTACTGAAACGGGTGTCTTGTTTGCAACTTCCCTTTATCATCACGGTTTCACTTTTTAGTGCTACTGGAATAGGACGTAAACATGATGGAAATTCCTGAAACCCCTAAACCCTAAACCCTCTAATAATAGTACAGTACTACTCTTGCTGCTAGCATTGTTCCCTTGCCAGGGGACCGCGAGCTGGACGGGTGCAGCAGTGTTGGCCGCAATCTGGCTGAGATCAGCCTTCACTCAGAGCAAGAGGTTGGTCCAGGCTCTAACCTACAGGAGCTATAGCCTAAACTCCTTAAAGGGAGTTACATAGAGGACAACAAGACGGGCTATTAAGGGGGATGCTAGGAGTTTAGACTGTTGATGTATTCCCTTATTCCTTTCTAGCCCCCAGGAAGTAGATTGGAGGGCTTCAAACACAGCCACGTGGGATTCCAAAAAGTAACGGTCCTTTTTTGGCGCGTCCCTAGTAAGGCACATGGTCTTTGGGGTCCATATTTGGGACCCACCTATGACAGGGAGCACTCATCACAAAACCCAGAAGCAGGATGCAAGGGCCCCTGCCAACAGCTACAAACTCTCTCCTCTAGGAATGGGGCTTGCCTGTCCTGCATATGCTGGCAGATAGCAATGATCCACTTATTGCTGCCAAGTAGCCCGGAGCAGCCATCACACCAAAGCTTGGCATCAGCAGCATCTTCATCAGCTCCGGACAGGTAGACCTCGCTCATGATGCCGGGTACCCATCATTAGCCGTGAGTAACTGTTTCTCGACTGTCAAAACTCTCAGTATGGCTTGCGGCTAGTTTGACCCTCTTTGTGCGTAGCATGTCGAAACCGCTGGCCGAAAATTTATTGTTATGACCTGGGGGCAGTGGGTCTTACAGTCCCGTACCAGAAACTGACCCTCCTTCGCTCGCCTTGGCAGCTGACCGACAGTCAAAGCAAGCCAGCTGCAAGTGAAGCAGTTCCACTTGCAGCGTGGCGCAGCCTGGCACAGAGAAACAGCGAAAGAACCCAGACGCTAAGGGCAGACGTTGCACTGCCTGGCCTTGCATGGTCTTGATGCCCTCTAGGCGGATCTCAGTGCCCTTGTGATCTGGCTCCAGCTCAATGGGCATGCGCTCCCGAAGGACCTCCTCATGATCTTCCTCTTCATCCTCCTCCGCATCCTTACTGCAGGTCAAGGATGCAGTTGTTCCCTTGCAGCCCGCCCGTGAGATGCCCTGCTTGTCCTCCTCCATTGGGAACCAGTCTGCGCCAGGTGTCCCTCCGGAGTCCTAGTAGGGGATAGGTTCGCACTCTGTGGACAACATGCAACACACGAACGTCCTAAATAGTAGTTTCCATGTTATTTTCCATTATCCCAATAAAACCCCAATATAACCTGCCTCCAGCCAGTCCAGGTCATCTCCAAGACCTGGTCGCAAGTTTCCCCTCGCATCCCATGCCATCTAGTTGCTGGAGAGGGGTTATATTGAGGATTTATAGGGATAATGGAAAAGAAAATGGAAACGACTATAATATAGGCTTTATATATAGGGTACAATAATATACAGGTATAATCTTGGCATAATGGAAAAGAAAATGGAAACTATTATAATATATCGGG